CATGCTGAGAAAAGGCGTTCAGGTAAGACAACGTCCCTTCAGAAAGCCAGAAATGAATACGAACAATAATTATTTGATGGATATTAGATTTTTATTTTTAAATCTCCATTATAAGTACGTGGACTAAGAAACAGGCTTTTCATGTATACAGAAGGAAACAAATGAACATAATGTGATTTTATTACGATGAACAATTTAGAGAATTAGTAAAGGATAGACAGGTACTAAGAGGTTCCAAATTTATGAAATCCATTATTTGATAGCAGCAAGCATAGAGTGACTATTAGAAAAGAAGTTCTATTTAAAAAAGGAATTAGAAGATTCATTACTCAATTGAATGAATGAAAATGGACATCAGGAAAGAGAATGTAAAAGCTGCTTGGAACAGAGTGAGCAAATACATACGTCCACAGAAGTGGAACTACTTTGCTAATTGTGGAACTCTACATTTGCATACGTAGAGTTATGCAAATAAGAATTATGAAAAAAAAGATGCTTCATGGAAAAATGAGATGAAGGAGGCAAAGAATAATGACTATTGGAAAATAAGAATCAAAGTTAATGTATAATAAGTTAATGTATAATAGAGAAAAAGAGTTGTAAAGTAGGTATTAAGAGGTCAGAAACATGAATTAAAAGAAAGTGCAAAGCAGTTTTAATGAAAATGAGTGTTTCAGTAAGGGATGTAACATTTATTTTTGTGGGATTGTGGAAGTTACTCTGTAAATCCTCAAAAAGCCACAGCCTTTTAAAAAGTATATTACACTTCTATTTCTAAAGATCCAAACAGCTGCATGTCTGTACAGGTGACCTTTGACCTATTAACTGGCTATTCCAAGTTAAGACAACTGAATGAATGATGGGTTACAACTGGTCCTCAGAATTCCAGCTGTCCCAGCATCCTAATGAACATGTGATTACTATTTGCACTTACAACTGGTTTCCAAATATCCCACAACCATGTGATTGCCATTTGGTAACCCTGCCAACTTCCCCAGAAAGTCAAGAGGGAAATTGGTAGGGAAGGTCACTGAGGTATGTCTCCCACTCATGCACCCTTTCCATCCCCTATGCACTCACTCTGCGTAAGTCACTCATGCATTCCCATGCACACTCCCCAACACGCACTGCGTCACTGTACACCCCAAGCCATATGGTGTCTCTTGTGTACCCTCTCAAACCACACACCTCCAACTCCCCTTCACATCCTTCTTGATCTACCATGTTTCCCCGAAAGTTAGACCCAGCCCAATAGTAAGCCCTAGCTTGATTTTGGGGGTGGGCCTAATATAAGGCCTACTCCAAAACTAAGCCCTAGTTTTGGGGTGAGATCCACCCCTAAAAATCAAGCTAGGATGGGGGTAAGGGGGGTGAAGCTGCCTCACGTGCCCCGCATCCGCTTACTTTACCAGTAGGATCACCATAGCCAGGCCTCCCACACCCCGACACCTGTCATGCCGCTATTTGACTATTTCTGCGTCTGCTTGCCGCCACTTGTGGCCGGATGCCATGTGGCACATTGTGTCATTGCCGCTCCTCCCGGCAGGACGCCACATGGCGCTTTGGGCCACTTCTGCTGCTTGTGCCACGCTTCGGGCTGCTTCTGTTGCGGCAGGAGGCCACATGGGACTTCAAGCTGTTTCTGCTGCAGAAATGGCCCAAAGAGCCATGCAGTATCCTTCTGGGAGGAGCGGCAACGGTGCAATGCGCCATATGGCGTCCGGCGGCAAGTGGCCAAAGAAGAGGTCAAGCAGCAGCACGACAGGTGTTGGGGTGTGGGAGGCCTGGCTGTGGTGGTCCTAAGGTAAGACATTCTCCAAAATTAAGACCTAGTGCCTCTTTTGGAGGCAAAAAAAATATAAGACCAGGTCTTATGGCACCTCTCATACTTCCTTCCCTTTCCCTCTTCCACCCAGCAGCATCAGCCTAATTGCTCATGGGCTTGAGACATGCAATTTCCTGCTGGCTTACCCACTTTGGTTGTGGGAAGCTGGAGGAATTTGCCACCCCTATTGAATGTGGATTTCAAGTAACAATAGGAATTGGGATTGTAGCAGTTGCTGTCATTAAGCAGTGCAGTTGCACTTTACAGTTGCATTGCTTAGCAACAGAAATTTCTGTCTCAATTGTTGTTGTGAGTTGAGAACTACCTATACAATAGAGTGTTTATATGAAGAAGCTCTGCATTTGAATTCTGCTAAATCTCAGTTCTTAGTTAGATTATGCCAGAATTAGGATTTATATATAGCCCAATGTCTCATTTCTCTCAGTGCCCAACCAAGTGTCTTTGGGAAGTTAACAAGAAGCACCTAGGAAAGCAAGTGGTTAATTTACAGCATTTACTACAACAGGATAATAACCACTTAGTTCATGGCTTTAAGAGGGCAGATTTCTACTACTAGTTGTCAGTACATAATGGCATTTTCTGCAACATTAAAGGTCAGTGTGCCATTGAATAATAGAGAGAAACCTGAAGGAAAGTGCTGTTATATTAATGTTCTGCTTGTGAATTTAATATATTGTATATATTCACATAAGCCCATTTATGTATAAACTGATCCTTGATTTTTAACAAAAAAAGTCATAAAAATGTCATCCATGGAAAAGTTTTGTATTTAATTTTCACAATTGGTTTATCCACGGGTGGCAAATTTTTCATGGTTAAAAATTTGAGGGATTGCTTATTCATGGATGGAATTAACTATGAGTATAGGATATATGGATAATTTTAAAACATATATACTCATAAATAACCCCAGCTGTGAATAAGCCTAGCCCAAATTTTGGATGTATTTTGTTACCTAAAATTCTCAGATTATCCCCAAGCATATGACAGGCTTTTCTCTCTTATACTCTTTTATAGGGGCATCCTCTGTCTTCTCATTTATGTAGAAGTAGGAAGAAAATTTGTGTTATCTCCAGTTTTCCACATTATTGGATTCACAGTTAATCATTCCACTTTATTTGTAAGATTAATGGGAGATAGAATCAAGCTACGTTTGAAAACCGTAGTTATAATACATCAATAAGAATTAATACATGAGTGAGATTAAAAATATATTTTAACATCTTGGTATTTGCCATGTTAAATGCAGATGTTTATTGATTTTACCAAGGGGGGGGGAAAGAAGAAAATAATGTGAGTATAATTTTTGCTCTAAGATGTTGTGGAGTAAAATTGCAACTGAATCAGTAATTATAACTTATCGCAATGCTATCCAGAATCAGTAAATATAAAACACAGTTGTAAACAAGTAAATATATTTGAACTAGATAGAGATTAATGCATTAAATGTGTATGGCAGTTCACTTTGGGGAAAAAAAGTATAGAATTATATCCTTGAATGTTCTAATGAAAGTAATTTTAAAAAATGGAAATTTTGCAGGGTTTTAAAATTAGACTGTCATAGGTGGCGTACACAACATGTATTTTGATAGAATTGTGTGTGTGTGTGTATCTCTTTATCTCATGGTGGCAAAGGGGAGTTGGAAGTAGATATAAGACAGGCAACCATGGCTCCTGTTGCTAGGAAGCCTTTTACGTAGAACATTTTATGGCATGTTTTTATTTAGTTAGTATCTACACAGCTTAGTTGCTACATGATAAATAAGGACAATTATATACTCAAAAATATTCGCAGACAGTTAGATTACAGAGATTTATTCAACAGCATTTTTAGAGGCTGCACTGTTTTTACAAGACTAAACCCTGGATTTGAGTCCAATAGAGCTTGTATCTTGAGAAAAGCATTCAGTACGCAAAGTAATAATTTCAACATAATATTAGTATTGCTCATTTCTATGGAGGAAAAACCATACTAGTAATTTGTTTATATTTTCAAGAATATTCCAGTAGTTTCTGAATTTCTTTAACAGTGAATTTGGGGAGCTGGCAACTACTGGTAGTCCTTGACTTGCAATCACAATTTTGTCCAGAACTTCCATTGTCACTTGGTGCAGTTTAAAGCAAGTCATCATTAGACTAGACTAGACTAGACCCAATTTTATTTTTTACCATGGTTTTTAGGGTGATCACTACAGCCATTAAATAAAGCATCAAGATCCTTAGGTGAATCTAGCTTCCCCAATTGACTTTTCTTGTTAAAACTGGCTTGGAAAATGGCAAATTGTAGTCAGATGATTGCAAGATACTGAAGTCTTTATAAATGCAAACCAGCTGCCAGGCACCTAGATTTGATCACATGACTGTGGGGGTGGTACAAGAGTTGAAAGTTCAAAGATGGGTCATCAGTCACTTTTTCCAAGGCCATCATAACATTAAAATGTCATTAAACAGTTGCAAGTTGTATATATAGTGTCTCTCATATACTTATAGGTTCAAGGCAGAAATACAATAATGTTTAGTTATTTTTCACATTTTTAAACCACTCATTTCCCTTATAACTCCTTATATCTGGGTTTATAAATCTTACTGAGAAATAGCAGGTATGGAGAGACTAGTTACATATTATTTTTTTCCTGGATCAAATCAGCATGCATTACTTTATAATATTATCTTGCCTCATATCAGGAGCATAATGTAATGAGTAACACATCAGGAACTCGATGTATTACTGAGTCTTGTAATATTGGTTCCATTTAAAATTGAAATATTTACTATCTTTTTTTTTTTTACTAGAGAGCATGATTAGAATTATGAAGTAAGTTAGTGTTCCTTCTGCTCTGTTGCGCACAAACATCGTTGTGGATCTGACACTGTTTATCTAACAGTGCACTCAATACTGCTTGAGTAGGGGAAATTGCACAAAACAAGTCCAGTGCATCAGCATTTTCATTGTATACCGAGCTGAGTCTCTTCATATGGTCACATCCCCTTTTTAATCCTGGTCCTCATGTTTCTTTCCCAGTCCAGCCTGTTTTTGTGGTGTCTGTTGCTGGTCTCCCTGAGCTTATGTTCTTGTGGTTTGAATGTTTTTCTATGTGGCTCAGTGTGTTAAGACCTGCAGAACTTAAGTGGTGGTATTCAATTGGTTCGACAGGACAGTGATCTAGCATTAGTGGTTTGTGGTAAGCAGAGAAGTGATGGCTGCTTTTAAGTTGGATTTCCTCCCAGAAATGATGGTGGATCATTGCTCCTTGAATGCCAGCCCGATGTAAGTATTTTGTTTTCAAAGTCATCTACCTTGATACTGATTGCTTTGAGTTTGTTATTTTGAAGGGTTTGGGGGTGGGAAATTTGCTCAATGAGTTTAAAAAAAAAGCAAATACATGTATTTAGATTATAAAAATAGAGCCTGAAATATATTTAGTTAGATCGATGTTGGGCAAAATAGCCAATTGTTCCATAGTGGGCTAATTCTAGGGAAGTACATTTTATTTGAAAATATGCAGCTAATAGTAATAAAGCTGTATATTGGCATGTCATTCTAATCTAGGAAGTAATGCCCTAAATACATGTAAATCTTTATAGCTTGATATTTAGCACATTAAATATGCAATTTAATGTACTATATTTCTTCATAATTTATTATATTTTAAATTCAAAATGTTGTAAAAATTAATTTAGTATGGGTAATATAGTTATCAAAGCATTTCAGTTATCTATGATTTATTATTGAAGTATTCACTACATTGGAATAAATTGGCTTCAGGTAAGTGTGCAAAGTATGTTCACTTATTTTTCTTCAGATAAACTCTCAGTATGCTTTATGTAAAGTACATTAGGGTCCCTCAGTCTTTATCAATATATAATAACTTCTCTGAACTAATAGTTTGACATGGTTGTGTGTGTCCATAGAGCTTTATAGAATATAAGAGATCAAGTCTCTTCCTCACTTATCTTGAGGAATCTTAATTCAGTGAAAGAAAACCTGGGAAGGGGAAGAAGAGTTGGAATTAGAGATATATAGGAAATAATGCATTACTTCAGTTGGAAATATTTAGAATGAATCACACCAGACATGGAAATGTGTCTATCCACACTTATATGCTAAATAAATTGCCTATCAGATAGTACTCAACGATTATAGATGTATTTAGTTTTACTTGGTAATGGTTTAAGGCAGAAATCCTCAGGTATGCATTTTATTTATTTATTCAGCTTGTAGGGCCTCCCATATCAAACAAATGACTCTGGTGAACAATCATAAAATCAATTAAAGCCAAATTACAAGCACAATACAAAGAAAATAAATACAGCTGCCAAGAAATTACAATCCATAGATGTTAACATAACCAGAAAATGGGACCCTTAATACACTCGGGGCCCCAGCACATAACTGGGTCTTTAAGATCTTACAAAAGGCCAAAAGGGTCAGGGCTATCCTAATCTCTGAAGGGAGAATGTTCCAGAGGGCATTTTTGTTAAGCTGTCAGTGTTAATTGTATGTATTTATTTTATTTTATTTATTTATTTAATCCCATTTATACCCCGCCCTTCTCCCGAGGGACTCAGGGCGGCTTACAGGTAAATAAAAACAGTACAATACAATATCTCTAAAAGCCAAATTAAAATATATATTAAATGACCTGTATTAAGTTTAATATTATAAAATCCCT